CAGCCTCCAAACACTAGCTTAAAAACAAAAACCATAAACATGAGTCTTGTATAACTTCCCAAGATGTTAAACAAGATGTTAATTGGTGTTGTAAAAGAAAGGAGTCAGATACATTTGTGAAACATTGCAAATTTTTGGAAGATTCATAAAGGTTCTGTGCTTTGCAGTAAACTCATTTATCTCAGTTATTTCCCCCAACCCTAGAGTGTGGTAAGAGCTGCCTCTTGCTGACAGAGAACGCCAGTGTCTACTCCTATGATTCAGGTGCGTCTTGAGGACAGCAGCCCCTGAGGAGGAGAAACTGGCTCCAGTTAGCACTGGCTTTTCTGGGCAGGCAGAACTGCCTGACTAGTGTGTCTTTAACTGTAAATTTTGGGTATCGTTGTATGTTGAAATCCTAGTATAGAGTTTTATGAATATCTTTTGTTGGGTAGTGAAGCTTGTTCCCATGGCAGCCTTAGACAACTCTGATCACAAGTGTGAATGATAACAAAGTGAGACTGTCAAAGGGAGCTTTCCTGGCTCTGACAAGCAGTTATTTCCCAGGGATGCTTGAGCTCAGCTCTTCCTCAAGAAAGCCTTTGTAAGCATACTCCAAAGACATTTTATAGCTTCCTTATTACATATTTTACTTAAATATTAAATGTCCTGACGCAGGAAATTGTTCCAGGATGTCATCAAAAAAAGACCTTTAAGATGCTTTTAGGTGGCAAAGCAGGTACCCCAAACTAAAATGTCGTTAAGTGTGGAATGAGTGGTGGAAGTAGAAACCATATCGTAAAGACACGGAAATTAAATATGAAATGATGTATCCACAGTATAGAAGAGCACTGACTCTCAACGTGGGTGCTTTGGATTTGATTCTAAGTAGTTGTGACCTCTATAGTTTCTGTACCTGCAAAAGCGTCTACCTCATATGGTGGTTGTGCTAAAGTATGCCAAACACTTAGTATAGGTTCTAGTAGGAAGATGATACTTGAACACAGCTATTATTATTTAAGGAGAGATTAATGGTCTTGGAAAGAGATGAGTCCGAGGATTCGGATATGTTAGATGGAGCTCTTGCCCGTTAAAGGAGTTTACAAATTTCTAGCTGTTGCGTTCTTTGCGTGAGGTTTCTTCTCTTTTTTCTTTTTTAAAATTTTTCCTTTCTGGTGAGGATGCCAGAATCTTTTTTTTAAATTTTTATGTGTTGAGAGAAAGATGCTAGAGGTTGAAAGGCTGACACGGTAGACTGTCACATTCCTAAATATTTTTTGAATTAGAGAAAATGATTAAAAGCACAGGCACTTGGGGCATGGTGGCTCATGCTTGTAATCCCAGAATTTTGCAAGGCTGAGGCGAGAAGACTGCTTGAGCCCAGAGGTTCGAGACCAGCTGGGCAACATAGGAAGACCCCATCTCTACAAAAAATAATGAGCTGAATGTGGTGGCACATGCCTGCGGTCCCAGCTACTTGGGAGGCTGAGGTGGGAAGATCGCTTGAGCCGTGGAGTTTAAGGCTGCAGTAAGCCATGATTGTGCCACACTGTTCTCCAGCCTGAGTGATGGAGTGAGGTGCTGTCTGCGAAAAGCACAGGCCTTGGACTCAGAGTTCCAACGATGGCTTCCCAAGCGAAGAACTGTGTGACCTTGGGTGAGTAGCGAACCATACTCATCCAGTCTTCTGGTTAGAAGGGCCTCAATGGAAGGGTATGGTCCAGTACGGAAAAAAGCATAGTGGGTAGGAATAAAAGCAAGGTTCTAAATCCCAAAATAATTGCAATCAGCTAGACCCTGGGAGACAAGCAAAACAAGGTGGGAAAGTGGGCAGAATTGTAGAATGGCTCCTCTTGTCTTTTGGCCACAAAAGTGAGGGGTGCCAGAAACACAGAGTTAAATTGTCCACCAAAGATGCACCGTGCATGCTCTGCTCTTGATTGCCCTGGAAACCAGAATGTAGTCCTACTGCCAGTGAAATCTTAACTGGGACACAACGTATAAAAGAAACGGTGGCACCTGTAAAAGAAATGGTAGCACCTAGAGGCACAGGCAGACTTAGCATGACCAGCTCCACTCAGGGCGGGTCTGGGGATGAGTTCAGGAGGCAGTCTCAAAGAGCAGGAATCCAGATTATGTGAAAGCCATGCTCTGTGGAAGCTCTGTGGAGTTTGTAATTCATAGATGCACATATATATTTTCTCATTTTTGTGAACAGTTCCACCTGGCAGGAGCCCACTCTCTCTCTGGTGCTCTGGGTAAGCTGCTTAGACAGCTGTCTGTGCAGAGACCTCTAAGCTCCTTGAGTTGAGGCCGAGATCACACCACTGCACTTCAGCCTGGGCAACAGAGTGAGACTGTCTCAAAGTCCATGACAGCTAAACTATTTTCATAATATCAGGGTATTATTTCCTTTTCTCCTACTTTCATTCTCTCAGTAGTATATGATGGAGTTTTCCAGAGGCTACATGACATGCAATGATGTTACTCTAGTAGCCAGTAGAATGTGTGTGTGTATTCTTGTGTTCTAAAAATTTCTCACTTTTAATTTATAACATGGTAAGTATTGATTGCCATAACCAATATAAGCTCAACACTTTAGCATTTTTAATTAACATTGAGGAGTGTAAAAGGGTTCTGAAGCGAAAGAATTTGAGAACCACTGGTCTACAACTAAAGCTTGAACACTTCTGCCCTAGGGTTCATGGTCAGGCCATCTCATTTAGTCCCTGGTTACTTAGAATCTTTGGTTGGGCCAGGCGCAGTGGCTCATGCCTGTAATCCCAACACTTTGGGAGGCCGAGGCGGGCAGATCACAAGGTTAGGAGTTCGAGATCAGCCTTACCAACATGGCAAAACCCCCATCTCTACTAAAATATACAAAAATTAGCTGGCCATTGTGGCGCGTGCCTGTAATCCCAGCTACTCAGGAGGCTGAGACAGGAAAATCTCTTGAACTGGGAAGGCAGAGGTTGCAGTGAGCTGAGATCGCGCCACTGCACTCCAGCCTGGGTGAGAGTCTGTTTTAAAAAAACAAAACTTTGGTCAAAGGGATGTCACTTTTTTTTTTTTTTTTTTTTTTTTTTGCGACAGTCTTGCTGTCTCAAGACAGGGTCTTGTGTTACCGCAACCTCCACCTCCCGGGTTCAAGCAATTCTTCACCTCAGCCTCGGGAAGAGCTGGGATTATAGGTGCCTACCACACCCGGCTAAATTTGGTATTTTTATAGTAGAGACAGGACTTCGCCATCTTGGCCAGGCTGGTCTTGACCTCTGGACCTCATGATCCACCTGCCTCAGCCTCCCAAAGTGCTGGGATTACAGGCGTGAGCCACCATGCCCAGCCGGGCTGTCACATTTTATACTGTGTTTGATACTGCTATACATGTTGCTGTGTGTGCACATGAACAACCCTTATTTCAAACAGGATGGCAAGTTCTAGAAGGCGGGGGTGGCCCTTTGATCTCCTGTATGTTCTTTCCTGGTAAGTGACTCCTGAACTGGTCATATTTGCCTAGCTGCACGGTGAAGAAAATGGCAGGCCAGGCTAGATCCAGAGACTAGAGGAAACCCAGGTTAGTTTCTTAAAGGTCCTAAAGGGGAAAATGGCATTTTTTCTGAAGACTTTTTAATTAAGAAAAAAAGGGAAATGTTATTTATCCAAGATTTTTCTGGTAGTCCCCATGCTGAATTTCTAAATGTATATAATAAGGTTAAGATAAATGACTATTTCTCCAAACTTTTCTTAATAGTGTAAGAATTTCAGCATCTCTACACAGATTTAAGTCTCCTTACCCTGAGTCACTCACCTATGTAAGCACCATTTCTTGGGCATCTCCTTGAGCCTGGCACTGGCTGGGTACATGATGCAGGTGCTAAGGGCTTGGTCTGTGATTTCCATGGATGAGGGTGTTCGTGCTACTCCTGGGGGATTTAACTCAGTCCCTGTTTTATCAGGAGGAAAATCAGTAGGAAAAACAAAGGCTTGTCTCAGCCAGCCAGGGGCTTACAACAAGGGACGATGGTCCTGGTGTTCCTGCCCTGTGAGAAAGCAGCTTACATGCTGGTGACTGTGGGGAGCCCACCATGCTCCTTGGTGCCAGTTGTTGTGGTGTCTTCCTCCCACTGCAGGGAGTCCAGGAATGTGAGAGTATGTTGTAAAAATATATAGAGACCACTAGTGTCAATAGGATTACCGTTCCTCAATTCATCATGTCATGGCTTTACTTTCCTCTCTGGTCACAACATGGAATTGACATTGCCTTTTAACATTGTTACTGTTAAAGAATGAAGTTTGCTTCCTGATCTTGAAGTAAAACACAAGAGAACAAAATGCCATGTTTTCGTTTCTAATCCAGATCCATTTTTTTTCCTTGTATGTAAGCCCCGATAATTTTTTCCCATGGAATTCGAGGATTCTGAAATGACTCAAAGCTGTATGCTGCTGAAACTCTAAGTTCCCACTAGCTTAAGAATGGCTGTGGCAACGGGAGGGGGAGAGGCAGAGAAAGGGCAGTCTCCACTTAACAACCATTCTGTTTTCGCTGGCAATTACATTGTTTCCAGCTTTTCACTATTATGGCAAGAAAACATTCAGTTTGCTAGGACTGCCATAACAAAATACCACAAACCCAGTAGTTCAAACAGCTGAAGGCACTGCCTCACAGTTCTGGAGGCTGGAAGTCCAAGATCAAGGTGGGCAGGATTGGTTCCTTGTGAAGGTTGTGAGGGAGAGTCTGTTCCAGGCCTCTCTCCTGGGCTTGTGAATGGCTGGCTGTCTTCTCCCTGCCTCTTCACGTGGTCTTTCCTCTGCTTGTTGGTTTCTGTGTCCACATTTCCCCTTTTCATCAGGACACCATTATATTGGATGAAGACCCATTTTAATGACTTCATTTTCATTTTGTTTGCTCTGTAAAGACTATTTCCAAATAAGGTCATATTCTGAGGTACTGGTGGCTGGGACTCCAACGTCATCTTTGGAGGGGCACAATTCAACCCGTAACAAATGTCATAAAGGAAGAAGGTATTCGCTGATTCCTTTATTTATTTAGGAGGTAGGGGGAGGGATGGGAAGAAAATTCCTATAGGGAAAGAGTTGAGAAGAGTCTGCAGGGAACTGAGCTAGAAAGCAATGACACTGTTTCCATAGTTGGAAAAGAGCAGGGCACATCTGTAAGTACCTGGTAATGTTTTGTAAGAAAAGCTACCTTATGAATGAGTACAGTGGAATACTACTTAGTACATTCATACATGTTTCTACCATCTCAAGATTTTTATACATACAGTATATGATCTGGTTTTTATAAATGTACAGCTTGAAAAAAAGATCCTTTTTGTAATAAGTACAGCATTTAAACACAAACCAACATGGGCCAGCCACATTCCAATTGAAGACCCAAACAAAGCAAAGCCGGCAGCCCAGCCCCTGACCTGTGCTTGGCGGCCCTGATGGTCCCGGCAAAGTGTAAACTAGTGTCCCTCTGTCTTCCTGGGCTCAGCAGGCCTGCTTGCCCTTGGCATGCGCACAGGAACTGCCTGCTCACGCTGAGCCCAGTCTGCAGAGGCGGGTCCTCCCTGAGGGAAGGTGGCAGAGAGGAATGTGTATGTCGGGTATGGACAAGAGAGGTGAAAGAAATGTGCTCTTCAACTAAAGGCACTTGTCAGCGGCCACCTACAGCCATTCCCTGGGCCTGGTGAGGAAGCAGGGTGCTGTTTTGACAGAAGCCTACAAGATCTCAGCAGACCTCACCTGTCCTCTCACCAGGTTTAAATACAATAAATAAATCTTATTGCGTGGTGGTTTTGCCTGCCTGGGTTCCTATGAAGGGGCTACCTTTTAGGATCGTTTGTGGAGTGATAACTCCCTGTTCCCAACCCCAGCCTATTCAGTGTCCTCCAGGGGGAAGGTACCAGAAGAGCTCCAGGCCTTGGAGAAGCAATTGCTCACTGCGGATTGGAAGGGGAGCCCCTAAGTATCTCCTCCCATTGTCTGTGCCTGGAGCTCCTCTGCCCCATGCGTCAGTCATGAGTGCCTCAGATCTTGGTCACGTAGTTGTTTGGGAACAGGCCCTGCTTGCCTCGTAGTCGACCCGTCCACCAGCCTGAAGGATCTGCAGGGAGAGAGATGGTAAAAGTGAAGATGAGTAACTGTTTTACCCCAGCCAAACACACTCTGCTTCCATGGGCTCAAGTGATATGGCACCATCCATGTTGTTTTCCCTTTGTTCTTTAAATCAAAAAGTTTGTTGTAAAATGTAAGATATCTACCAAATTAATAAGGCACTCAGCCAAGCCCATGGACTGCTTTAATAATGGATACTCAAGGTTGTCTCTCTGGCTTCTACTCCATCTACTTTGATTAGGAGGAAGCCTACCAGGTCTAATAAACTGAAGGGTACAGCCTTTGTCTTGCTACTAAAGTTGGTTCAGGAGGACACATGACTAATTTGGTTTGATCAGGATAAAACTCAGGACTTTTGTCTAATGGCAAAGAAAAGTTTCAGAGATGTTGCAGATTTCATATATCATTTGATATGCAGGCCTGGAATTGCAGCTGCCATTTTGCTACCATGAAGAAAAACAGCTTGAGATTTTGGGGCAGCCTGGGAGGCTGTCCCAGCCAGTCAGCCACACACTTACCTTCTTTGATAATATCAATAATGTCATTGGCATTAAAGCTGAGTTCATCTGTGTCCTGCGCGTCATAGGCATACAAAGCCTTACACTGTGGCACCTGAGGCTTGGGCTTGGGCTGGGGCTTGGGTCTGCCCCCTGCTGGGGGAGGCCGACTGGTGGTCTGTCTCCGGACCCTGTGGGGAGAGTAGAGCCGATGAGACTGGGTCCCAGGAGTAGGCAGCAGCACTGAGGGGTGGTTTGGGGCATGGTGGCTGTCACTGGCCTGTTCAAGTTCAAATCCAGCTCCACCCTTAGAAGACATATGGCCCAGGGTGCAGTCTTTTAAACCTGAGGAATAAAACTGACTTTCCTGACAAGGTTGTTGCAACCCCAAATAGCTCTTACAAACCTTTGCTGCTGCTGCTGCTGCTGCGGTGTTCCCAGCATAGAAAGACACGTGAAAGACACAGCCATATAAAAGTGTCAAAAGTATACCCATATATTTAAATCATGAACATTCAGGTATCCGTCCCTCCCTCAAGTTTGGAAATGGAACTTTTGCCAGTGCCACAGAAGCCTGTAGGCATCTTTCCTTCACTGAATTCCCCCCAGAATTACCACCTGAGGTAATTCTGGATCATTCTCTACTCCCATCCCATCCCATCCACCCACCCACCCTCTCATCATTACTTCCCAGACTTCCCTCTCCCCCCATTACTACTCCAGAGACTTCCCTCCCACCCCCTCATTATTAATCTAGACTTCTGTCCCACCACCTCATTATTACTCCTCAGACTTCCACCCCCTCATCATTACTCCAGAGACTTCCCTCCCACCCCCTCATTATTACTCAGACTTACCTCTCATCTCATCCATCAGTATTACTCTTCAAATCTCCTTTATTACCCCTCAGAGCTCCCTTCTGCCCCTCCAGAAATGTTGCCGTGAATATTCTTATACAAGAGTTTATCCAGAACAGTTTCTCAGCATCTGCACTACTGACACCTGTGGCTGGATAACCCTTTATAGTGTGTGTATATGGGGGCAGGTGAGGGAGGCTGTCCTGTGCCCTGCAGGATCCCTGGCCTTCAACCACTGGATACAAGTGACACTCCCTCCACTCCACTGTCATAATTATTAAAAATATCTCCAGTGCTGAAACCCTAATCCAGATCCAGCTTTAACTGGATTATTTGTATATACTATGCTGCCTCAAGTCACCATTCATTCGTTGTTTCAAAGCATGTAAGTTCTACTGGTTCCTGCTTAGTGAGATCTTCAAACTTATACCTGAATCAATTATTTAATAAATATGTTAATGAAAAGCATCTAGCAAAAACAAAAAGGAAAACAGAAACATGGAGAACATTTCTTTTTTTTCCCACTTTGCTTAAGGACAAACCAAAGTAAAGGCTATGTTCATTTGCTTACGAAAGAAACAAGATTTCTCCTTAAAGAAGTTGGGCTGGACCTCAACATGGTAGGCCTGGCTGTTAGGTCCGGGCACATCATTCACACCCGCAGGAGCAAAGAGGAAAAGGGGGGCTTTCCCGGGACCTGAGTTCTGGAAAGAACCACCACATCCAGTTTTGAGCTGCACTCTGAGGAAATCGCAGCCTGCTGGCCTTGCCCATGTCCTGTGATGATAGATGCTCGTGGGGTGCTGATGAACAAGCTGGATCATGAAGGGGAACACTGGCTGCCAGCAGGGTAGCAGACTGTCCCCAGGAGGGCTGGGCTCCCCTAAGACTGGGCTTTTCCTCCACCCCACACGGGACGGGGCAATCCTCAAGGCTACTCAGGCTCCACTCCTCTCGCCACTCTTGCCACTTTTAGTGTAGAGGAAAGGCATTTTGTAGGTTGTCAGTGTGACATCATTTATTTCCTACCTCATGTCTACTGGAAATCCCATTCCCTGTTGAAGTGCTTGCTTCTCTGAAAGCCAGCCGGGCAAACAGGTTTGTAATTAAGCACCCTATATGCTGGGGATGTGTCAGCATTTGGCTAATAAGAGCCATTAGCCTGGATACCAGAAGTCAACGTGACTTCTCAGCAACAAGGAATAAAAGGGGGTGGGGGGCAGGCATTACAAAACCCTGGCAGGGAGGAAGCCTCCAGCCTGGCAGTCCACAGAACTGGGCTGGGAGTGCACGTGCAGGGACACAGAGGCACATGTGTGCACGCACATAACACCAAAAACCGTCGTCCCTGTGTCCCTGGGGGACTGATGCTAGGACTACTCACAGATACTCAACTCCACAGACATGTCCCTCATATAAGAGGGTGTAACAATTGCATATAACCTATGTACAGCCTCTTGTATGTTAAACCTCCTCTAGATTACTTGTAATACCTAATGTAATGTAAATACTATGTAAATAGTTGTTATACTATATTGTTTAGGGAATAACGACAAAAAAAAAGCGTTTTAAAAAATACAGGACTGGCCAGGCATGGTGGCTAACATGTAATTCCAGCACTTTGGGAGGCCAAAAAGGGTGTATCACCTGAAGTCAGGAGTTCGAGACCATCCTGGCCAACATGGCAAAACCCGTCTCTACTAAAAATAGAGAAATTAGTTGGGCATGGTGTAATTTATCATAATATATTACAGATTATACCTGTAATCCCAGCTACTGGGGAGGCTGAGGTAGAAGAATCGTTTGAACCCAGGAGGCAGAGGTTACAGTGAGCAGAGATCATGCCACTGCACTCCAGCCTGGGCCACAGAGTGCGGTCTCAAAAGAAAAAAAATTTTTTTTTAAGTCTGTACATGTTCACTACAGAGGCAACTATCCATATTTTTTCTGAATATTTTCAATCCAAGTTTGGTTGAATCCACAGATGTGGAACTCATGGGCACAGCGAGCCAACTATATCCATAGACAAAAATCTGTCCCGTCTTGTCTGGTGGGAAAACCCTACTGTCCTTAGTACAGACTGACGAGGTCTCTGGAGACCAAATATTGGGGGCCTAGGTACAGGGTCCTCCTGCTGAAGGACTCCCCTTGCCAGGGTGGGAGTAAGACCTCTTAGTGGGAAGACAAGACGGATGGCTCCTGAGAGGGAAGACCCTCCCTGCCCTGGGCATCACTCACTTGTTCTGCCCCATCTACCCCCAGCTTTGACTAAGCCCTGTTTCTTTCCTTCACGTCCTCTTTGCCAGTTGCTTCCTTTCTAGAACACTTGGCCCTCATGCTAGCTCAGCTGTTATTAGTTCACCCCATCCCACCTGAAAATCCTTCTAACAGCTTCTCTCTGATCTTGGAAAAAGGACCAAAACCCTTCATGGCGCCTACAGAGTCTGCCAGGTGCGGCTCCTGCTCATACAAACCTTACTCTCTGCTGCAGGCCACACTGATGCCTGCCTTCCTTTCTCCGTGAGCCCTGGTTGGGGAGAGGACCCTTGTCTAATACTTCAAGCTTACATCATATTTATCCACTGAAACCCACAACGATTTCCCCGTAACATCAGGAAGAAAAGAGGGATGTTAGCATTCACAACTTGTCCAATATTATCCTGGAAACTCCAGCCAGGGTAATTAGGCAAAGAAAAAAGAAAAAAAAGTCATCTAGATTGTGTTAAAATAGACCATGAGTCTGATCGAACAAATTCCTTCTGGTGATGATAGCAAATTATAAACAAGAGCTAAGGGGATGAAGGTGGACCATGCAAACAGCTGGGTGTGTGTGGCCACAGTGTGGTCTTTGATCTCAAGGCAGCAGAGGCTACTTCCTCCGGAGAGGTGACTACTGGCCAAAGTAAAAGCTCAGGAATTACCTGGGTTCCTGTGTAGACCCATGGCAACAGCTGGCCTAATTGTCCAGGTTGTGTACAACTGCCACTATCCTGGCAGTGTAAGCCATTTGGTCCTTTATCACTAGGCTGAATGGGGTTCACAGTACTCCACAGTTGGGAGGTGGCGGAGGCCAGGACAGCTTTGAGATGGGGCATTTGCTGGGGAGCAGGGTCTGGACAGCGGGGACTGTTTGATGGTGGCAGGGAGGAGGGGGCCGGTGGGTGGAGGAAGGAGGACCTCTGTACTTTGTATTAGGAGTGGCAGCACTGATGCCACCGTTGGATCTTACTTGTGACCACAAGAGGTACACCACCTCTGCCAGGGCAGCATATTTCCAAAGCGAGCCACAGTGAGAGCCATTCTCCCTGGCCAGCCTGCACATGTCTATACTCTTTTTGTGAGAGCTAGCAGACAGGTTGTCTTCTGGGAAACTCTGCCTGTAGCTGTGTGAGGTCTGGAGAGACTCCCCTCAACTGGGCCAAGGCCTTGTGCTAGGCATCAGGTGCTGCTTCATTTTACCCTCACGACACTCCTGTGAGATGACTGATTTAGGCTCCTGGGATTTCCTGCTGGGTTCATCACTGGCCAACATGGTGGCACGTGCCTAAGGCTCCTGGCACTGCAGCCACACCGATCTTTCTGGCTCCTTGGTCTGGCTGTGCTCTCCTGGCCTCTCCCTACTCCCCAGGCAGCACGGCTGACTCCTACTCAGCCTTTGGACCTTATTTCCATTAGTGCTTCCTCATACTCTGGCGAACCCCCTGCCAAATCCTCTCCTAGCCCACGCCTCCTCCAGAGCAGAAGTGAATTGTAACGTGACATTGACTTGTGTAGCACGGCAAATTGTCTTGCTCTGTTGCCTAGGCTGGAGTACAGTGGTGTGATCTTGGCTCACTACAACCTCTGCCTACCAGGGGATTCTCCTGCTTCAGCCTCCTAAGTAGATGGGATTGCAGGTGTGCACCACCATGCCCAGCTAAATTTTTTTTTTTTTTTTTTTTTTTTTTTTTTTTTTGTATTTTTAGTAAAGACAGCGTTTCACCATGTTGGCCAGGCTGGTATCGAACTCCTGCCCTCAAGTGATCCGCCCACCTCAGCCTCCCAAAGTGCTGGGATTACAGGTGTGAGCCACCATGCACAGCCTATTTATTTTTAGAGATGAAGTTTTACCACATTGCCTAGACTGGTCTTAAATTCCTGGGTTTAAGCGATTTTCCCACCTTGGCCCCCAGTGATGGGATTACAGGTGTAAGCCACTGTACCTGGTCCCAGGCCTTTTTTCTAATTCAAGGAAAGTTTTACAGAGAGCTCTCAACAGCACGGAGGAACACAGGAAGTCTGTGCCAATGAAGCAGTCACAGTCTGTACAATTCACCAGACTGGAGACCTGGAAG